TTTCGGGCCTTCAGACTTTCGGGCATGAAGACTCTTGGGCCGTCAGACTTTCGGGCATGAAGACTCTTGGGCCGTCAGACTTTCGGGCCTTCAGACTCTTGGGCGTTAAAACTCTCGGGCCGTCAGACTTTCGGGCCTTCAGACTCTTGGACATTAAGACTATCGGGCCGTCAGACTTTCGGGCCTTCAGACTCTTGGGCATTGGGACTCTCGGGCATGAAGACTCTCTCGGGCAATCAGACTCTCTGCGACCCATACTCTGCGGCATTAAGACTCTCGGGCCGCCTGACTTTTGGGCATTAAGACTCTCGGACAGTCAGACTCTCTAGGGCCATCAGACTCTCTGCGACCCATACTCTGCGGCATTCAGACTCTCGAACTTTCATATTCTCCGGCCCTCGGACTCTCGGGCCTTCAGACTGTGACATTCGGACTCTCGGGCTTTCAGACTCTTTGGCATTAAGACTCTCGGGCCGTCAGATTCTGGCACTTTCTGACTCTCTCGGGCATTCAGTCTCTCGGGCCGTCAGACTCTCGGGCATTCAGACTCTCGGACATTCAGTTTCTCGGATCATCAGACTCTCGGGCCATCAGACTCTCGAACCTTCATATTCTCCGGCCTTCGGACTCTCGGGCATGAAGACTCTATGACCTTCAGACTCCCGGGCCTTCAGACTCTCGAGCCATCAAACTTTCGGGCCTTCAGACTCTCTCGGGCCGTCAGACTCACGGGCCTTCAGACTCTTGAGCCTTCAGACTCTCTCGGGCCTACAGACTCTCTCGGGCCATCAGACTCTCTGCGACCCATACTCTGCGGCATTCAGACTCTCGAACTTTCATATTCTCCGGCCTTCGGACTCTCGGGCCTTCAGACTCTTTGGCATTAAGACTCTCGGGCCTTCAGACTCTCGGGCCTTCAGACTCTCGGGCATGAAGACTTTCGGGCCTTCAGACTTTCGGGCATGAAGACTCTTGGGCCGTCAGACTTTCCGTCAGACTTTCGCCTTCAGACTCTTGGGCCGTTAGACTCTCGGGCCTTCAGACTCTTGGGACATTAAAACTCTCGGGCCGTCAGACTTTCGGGCCTTCAGACTCTTGGACATTAAGACTATCGGGCCGTCAGACTTTCGGGCCTTCAGACTCTTGGGCATTAGGACTCTCGGGCATGAAGACTCTTGGGACTTCAGATTCTCCTGCCTTCAGACTTTTGGGCATTAAGACTCTCGGGCAGTCAGACTCTCTCGGGCAATCAGACTCTCTGCGACCCATACTCTGCGGCATTAAGACTCTCGAACTTTCATATTCTCCGGCCCTCGGACTCTCGGGCCTTCAGACTCTTTGGCATTAAGACTCTCGGGCCGTCAGATTCTGGCACTTTCTGACTCTCTCGGGCATTCAGTCTCTCGGGCCGTCAGACTCTCGGGCATTCAGACTCTCGGACATTCAGTCTCTCGGATCATCAGACTCTCGGGCCATCAGACTCTCCGACATTCAGACTCTCGAACCTTCATATTCTCCGGCCTTTGGACTCTCGGGCATGAAGACTCTATGACCTTCAGACTCCCGGGCCTTCAGACTCTCGAGCCATCAAACTTTCGGGCCTTCAGACTCTTTGGCATTAAGACTCTCGGGCCGTCAGACTCTCGGGCCGTCAGACTTTCGGGCATGAAGACTCTATGACCTTCAGACTCCCGGGCCTTCAGACTCTCGGGCCATCAGACTCTCTGCGACCCATACTCTGCGGCATTCAGACTCATCGGACTTTCAGACTATCGAACTTTCATATTCTCCGGCCTTCGGACTCTCGGGCCTTCAGACTCTTTGGCATTAAGACTCTCGGGCATGAAGACTCTCGGGCCTTCAGACTCTCGGGCATGAAGACTCTCGGGCCTTCAGACTCTCGGGCATAAAGACTTTCGGGCCTTCAGACTTTCGGGCATGAAGACTCTTGGGCCTTCAGACTCTTGGGCATTAAAACTCTCGGGCCGTCAGACTTTCGAGCCTTCAGACTATTGGGCCATCAAACTTTCGGGCCTTCAGGCTCTCTCGGGCCATCAGACTCTTTGGCATTATAACTCTCGGGCCGTCAGACTTTCGGGCTTTCAGACTCTTGGGCATTAAGACTCTCGGGCCGTCAGACTTTCGGGCCTTCAGACTCTTGGGCATGAAGACTCTCGGGCATGAAGACTCTTGGGCCTTCAGACTCTTGGGCATTAAGACTCTCGGGCATGAAGACTCTTGGGCCTTCAGATTCTCCGGCCTTCAGACTTTCGGGCATTAAGACTCTCGGGCAGTCAGACTCTCTCGGGCCATCAGACTCTCTGCGACCCATACTCTGCGGCATTCAGACTCATCGGACTTTCAGACTATCGAACTTTCATATTCTCCGGCCTTCGGACTCTCGAGCCTTCAGACTCTTTGGCATTAAGACTCTCGGGCATGAAGACTCTCGGGCATGAAGACTCTCGGGCCTTCAGACTTTCGGGCATGAAGACTCTTGGGCCTTCAGACTCTTGGGCATTAAAACTCTCGGGCCGTCAGACTTTCGGGCATGAAGACTCTATGACCTTCAGACTCCCGGGCCTTCAGACTCTCGGGCCATCAGACTCTCTGCGACCCATACTCTGCGGCATTCAGACTCATCAGACTTTCAGACTATCGAACTTTCATATTCTCCGGCCTTCGGACTCTCGGGCCTTCAGACTCTTGGGCATTAAAACTCTCGGGCCGTCAGACTTTCGAGCCTTCAGACTATTGGGCCATCAAACTTTCGGGCCTTCAGACTCTCTCGGGCCATCAGACTCTTTGGCATTATAACTCTCGGGCCGTCAGACTTTCGGGCTTTCAGACTCTTGGGCATTAAGACTCTCGGGCCGTCAGACTTTCGGGCCTTCAGAGTCTTTGGCATTAAGACTCTCGGGCATGAAGACTCTTGGGCCTTCAGACTCTTGGGCATTAAGACTCTCGGGCATGAAGACTCTTGGGCCTTCAGATTCTCCGGCCTTCAGACTTTCGGGCATTAAGACTCTCGGGCAGTCAGACTCTCTCGGGCCATCAGACTCTCTGCGACCCATACTCTGCGGCATTCAGACTCATCGGACTTTCAGACTATCGAACTTTCATATTCTCCGGCCTTCGGACTCTCGGGCCTTCAGACTCTCGGGCATGAAGACTTTCGGGCCTTCAGACTTTCGGGCATGAAGACTTTTGGGCCGTCAGACTTTCGGGCATGAAGACTTGGGCCTTCAGACTCTATGGCCTTCAGACTATATATCCTTCTTCGTCCTTGGTTGTGCTCTGATGGTTATCGGACTGACCAGAAAAACAAAATGGCGACAACCATGGATTTTGACAATGAAATACTGCTCTTGCTATTTCTAGAGATATCCTGAGTATATCTTTCTTAGAATTTTATATTTTGGTTCCCCTTGGTTTCACACACACCCCTCCCCCTGAGGCCATGTGTGCCATTGTATTTCTGAACAGTACCCAAATCAAAGAGATGGTCATAGATGGCAATCTGTCATTTTGTCATTCTGACCAGTCCAAAAAAAGGAACATTTTTGGACCAAGGAGGTCCTACACTTTTCCAATAAATATCATTAACAATCTCTCGTTGTTAAAATCAATCCTGACATCAATTTTAGTTTTTGATTGGCCTCAAAATAAAACGGGCAGATATGAAATATGAGAAAGATCCATTCAGTACTCGAGAAATAGCAAAAACAATCGTTCATTGTCAAAAACCAAGATGGCTACCTGTCACCATTTTGTTTTTCAGATCAGTCCAAAAATCAAAATAGCAAAACTAGAAAGTACTTCAGAAGGAATAGTGATAGCAAGAATTGTTTACGGACGGAGGACAGACCACAGATGTAGGGCAGTTTGGATATACATGTCCGTCCATCATAAACATTCATTTGTCTGGAGATCTCAACACACAGATTTCAACCAATCTCTGTCCAACTCGAAACTCGAAATTATCTTTACATGAAATTGTGTTGAAAAATGAACTGCAGTTTTATTTATTAGTTTTGGAAGAGTTACTGCCCCTTGTATTTTCACAATCAGAATCTTGTTCAGAGATTCCATCATTTTCAAACGACCTCTTTCACACTCGGCGAGCTCGATCACTATGACATGCATTTGTGTTTTCCTAATCAACAGTTGTTTTTTTATTCCCCTTTGTTTTCTATTGTTCTGATCTTGTCTACAGATTTCACCCTGAAGCTTTTAACATATTTTATTTAAACTTTTTAAGCTTTAGAATGAATTCCTGTACAGCATTTACATTCAACAATTTTGTTTGAAATATAATACCCTATTTTTCAGATTTACAAACCTGTCCAGATAATTTTTCACTTGTTTTTGACTGTTCTCTTTAAAACAGATATGCTTTATAAAACACAAGTTTAGAAAAAGTTATCTCAATTTGTTTTCTCCCTCACTACTGAAAAAGATTTGTTTTGAACGTCATAAACTTCATTATCAAGAAAATGAAATTACAATTTCTCAGGGCAATTTTATTACACAATTATTTTTCATTTTCATATCTGTACTTATTTCAACATGGCATTTCTCTTTGGCACGGGGAGAATATATTGTTCCACATGGTGGTTCCTGCTTGGCTTGGTTGATTTGGAGATCATATTTATATCCTATTATAGGTAAGGTTATTCAAAGACGTTGAGGAAAGCAGAGGTTCGATAGAAGAAAAAAACACAGACCAGAGGGAGTACCTGGTGACTGCCCCATGTAGGCTTCGAATGACCTACTTAAGGGCTTGTGATAATGAAGATCTTTTCCAGTCACCCACCACCGCCGCACTCTTTGTTTACCTAACAATTCCTGAATTACAGATTCCATAAACAACACCATTTTTGACATGCCATAAATCTTTGTTGTATACACTGGTCATTTTCTGTAGATTCAAACCTTATTATATGTATTTACAGTGGTGATTTGTATCAGAGAAGTATTTACAACAGTAAGATACTGTGTAAGGTGTCCTGTTCCTTTTCATCCAGCTTTATTATTTCCTTATAAAATGTTATACAATGACAATTAACATTGAACATCATACCTATTTCTCAGGGACACATGAAAAATATTGGTGAAATTTATATATTACACAGGAAACCCATCATATATCCTCTATGTAAATATATAAGTAGTTTGAAATCTTTGGCACTAAAACATAAACTTCTGTAGAATACAGTTTTAATTACAGTAAAAATATATAAAGTTTACAACCAAACTCTGTGTATTCTGTACCGAACACTAACAACAGCAGACGAAACAGACAATTTCTAAATTTAAAATAAAATTTATCTTTTCCATAAAGATATACCATTTCTGTCACACCTGATGGAAATACACTGTGGTAGCCATTTCTTAAAAGGTTAGATGTAAAATTCATTTGTATCCAATATATTATAACGTGATGCTAGCCAAAATAGAACACTTCTCAAGTATTTAATGCAGAATTTTGATTTTTCAATACAAGTGATAAGGTATTCATAAATCATTAAGTCAATTTTTAACAGGCCATGTTTTCTATGCTTTTTATTATCTCTATCTGAAATTTTAAAAACTGAAATTATGAAAAAATTCCAGGAAATGATGCTATGTAACACAACAAATATTGTTTCATGTTTCAAAACAATGAAAAGTGTTGCTGAAATGAACATTTTTGATATATAAAGGACTGAGATTAATGAGAAACTTGGTGACCTTTTTTTGATAAAATAAAGAAAATATCAAGGTCATGTCAGTTATTTCTATAAAAGAACAGAATGATGAGTGGCGTTCCATTTTGGGCACCCCTACCTGTTGAAATGCATTGATGAAGCTGGCATGCCTAGATGTGTTCTATGCAGATACATGTACTCTGTTGACATGTAACCAAAGCATAAAATGAAAGCAAAAAGAATCTATTTATGGAAAAACTTGGCAGGAAATTTTTAAAACTTCCAATTCGAGTTTCGTCTAGCATCTTCAGAAGCATCATGGTATCTGGGCAGCACCATGGACCATCTAGTATATCAAACCATTAATTTTCAACAGTTTGGAGATTTCCTTCAACAGAATTCATTGTCCCAGCTACTGTTCCCCTGAATCTGTTGGCATTAACTTCAGGTTCCGTCACAATTTACTCTAACGGAAGACTTAACATTTCTGAAAATTACCAGCCATCTTTATTCCTATGTTACCTTCACTTTAAACAGAGATGAATTTAATGAGAAATATCACTTATTAAAAACATTTTTTTCAAAAAACTTTATTTTGGAATTTTTAATGTGTTAATGAGATCTCGGACCATACCAGCTATTGGTTTTGAATATGTCTCTAAAAGTACTGGAGTTTCAGCCTCTATCCTTATCCCTTTGGAGAAATTTGCATTACCTGAAAAAGAAAAAAAAAACATTTAACATTATGATTATACTGTAATAAACTAAAATGGGATGTATTTCATTCGAAAGATTAAAGGGGCAGTGGACACAATTTCATAAGTCAATTCATAAATCTGTCCATACTTTCAATAAAAAAAACCCAAAAATTCCATTGTAGACAGATATAAAATTTGTACAAGGATAGCTACATAACCCTTACACTTCAGTGTATCAAACGTTTACATAAAGACTAATGGTTTATGTCAGAAAACCCAGAAAACTTTCAGAATTACATATAAATCTCATTAATATAAGGTTACCACATTTAGAAGATATTGCAGAGGACATCTTACATGGGTAACACTATAATAACTGTTGTTAGGTACACAAGATGTAACATTCATTCAGAATGGGGACATCATACTGTATATACCCCCTTAACTACATTACTACTGTATATACCCCCTTAACTACATTACTACTGTATATACCCCCTTAACTACATTACTACTGTATATACCCCCTTAACTACATTACTACTGTATATACCCCCTTAACTACATTACTACTGTATATACCCCCATAACTTCATTACTACTATATATACCCCGTTAACTACATTACTACTGTATATACCCCCTTAACTACATTACTACTGTATATACCCCCTTAACTACATTACTACTGTATATACCCCCTTAACTACATTACTACTGTATATACCCCCTTAACTACATTACTACTGTATATACCCCCATAACTTCATTACTACTATATATACCCCGTTAACTACATTACTACTGTATATACCCCTTTAACTACATTACTACTATATATACCCCCTTAACTATATTACTACTGTATATACCCCCTTAACTACATTACTACTGTATATACCCCCTTAACTACATTACTACTGTATATACCCCCATAACTTCATTACTACTATATATACCCCGTTAACTACATTACTACTGTATATACCCCCATAACTACATTACTACAGTATATACCCCCTTAACTACATTACTACTGTATATAACCCCCATAACTACATTACTACAGTATATACCCCCATAACTACATTACTACAGTATATACCCCCTTAACTACATTACTACTGTATATACCCCATAACTTCATTACTACTATATATACCCCGTTAACTACATTACTACTGTATATACCCCCATAACTACATTACTACAGTATATACCCCCATAACTTCATTACTACTATATATACCCCGTTAACTACATTACTACTGTATATACCCCTATAACTACATTACTACAGTATATACCCCCTTAACTACATTACTACTGTATATACCCCCATAACTACATTACTACAGTATATACCCCCATAACTACATTACTACAGTATATACCCCCTTAACTACATTACTACTGTATATACCCCATAACTTCATTACTACTATATATACCCCGTTAACTACATTACTACTGTATATACCCCCATAACTACATTACTACAGTATATACCCCCATAACTACATTACTACAGTATATACCCCCTTAACTACATTACTACTGTATATACCCCCTAAACTACATTACTACTGTATATAACCCCCATAACAACATTACTACTGTATATACCCCCTTAACTACATTACTACTGTATATACCCCCATAACTACATTACTACAGTATATAACCCCCATAACTACATTACTACTGTATATACCCCCTAAACTACATTACTACTGTATATACCCCGTTAACTACATAACTACTGTATATACCCCCTTGAACTACATTACTACAGTATATACCCCCTTGAACTACATTACTACTGTATATACCCCCTTGAACTACATTACTACAGTATATACCCCCTTGAACTACATTACTACAGTATATACCCCCTTGAACTACATTACTACTGTATATACCCCCTTGAACTACATAACTACTGTATATACCCCCTTGAACTACATTACTACTGTATATACCCCCTTGAACTACATTACTACTGTATATACCCCCTTGAACTACATTACTACAGTATATACCCCCTTGAACTACATTACTACTGTATATACCCCCTTGAACTACATTACTACTGTATATACCCCCTTGAACTACATTACTACAGTATATACCCCCTTGAACTACATTACTACAGTATATACCCCCTTGAACTACATTACTACAGTATATACCCCCTTGAACTACATTACTACAGTATATACCCCCTAAACTACATTACTACTGTATATAACCCCCATTGAACTACATTAATACTGTATATAACCCCTTGAACTAAATTACTACAGTATATACCCCCTAAACTACATTACTACTGTATATAACCCCCATAACAACATTACTACTGTATATACCCCCTAAACTACATTACTACTGTATATAACCCCTTGAACTACATTACTACAGTATATACCCCCTTGAACTACATTACTACTGTATATACCCCCTTGAACTACATTACTACTGTATATACCCCCTTGAACTACATTACTACAGTATATACCCCCTTGAACTACATTACTACAGTATATACCCCCTTGAACTACATTACTACTGTATATACCCCCTTGAACTACATTACTACAGTATATACCCCCTTGTAACTACATTACTACTGTATATACCCCCTTGAACTACATTACTACTGTATATACCCCCTTGAACTACATTACTACTGTATATACCCCCTTGAACTACATTACTACAGTATATACCCCCTTGAACTACATTACTACTGTATATACCCCCTTGAACTACATTACTACAGTATATACCCCCTGTACATATACTGTATATACCCCCTTGAACTACATAACTACTGTATATAACCCCCATAACTACATTACTACTGTATATACCCCCTTAACTACATTACTACAGTATATACCCCCGTTAACTACATTACTACTGTATATACCCCCTTAACTACATTACTACAGTATATACCCCTGTTAACTACATAACTACAGTATATACCCCCTTAACTACATTACTACTGTATATACCCCCTGAACTACATTACTACAGTATATAACCCCCATAACTACATTACTACTGTATATACCCCCTAAACTACATTACTACTGTATATACCCCCTTGAACTACATTACTACTGTATATACCCCCTTGAACTACATTACTACTGTATATACCCCCTTAACCAAATGATTGATGAGTAGAATAAAACACCAAAAGGTGAACTTTATAACTGATTAAAGTTTACAGATCTACCCTCTTATCTGTGGCAGTAAGAATCCTGTACAAGAAAATTTTACCAGGATTCCTCTGCTTGTCTTTATATTTTCATCTCACAGAATAAAATAAAAGGGTTCTTTTTTAAGAGATTGAATATTTCTGATACTCCCGTGCTAATTTAAACACTCCTTACTGGATAATCCATATAGAGATACTGCTTATCTTGTAAGGTTACAAATGACAGGGTTTTGATGACAGATATAACTTTACCTTGATTTGATATTTTCTTGTCCTCATTATATACTATGAAGTCATCGGATGTAATGCCTAGTAGTTCTGCATACATTTTTGATATGTTTGAGGGTATTTTGCTATCGTCTACGCTATGATACACTACACGACATGGTGTATCCTTCATTTGGATTCTCAGCATGAAAGTCTGTAGCTGCAAAAGATAGCATCTAGGACTTTAAGTACAATGTATCATATATTTAACAAAATTTGAAATCTCTGATTCAAAAACTAGAAATTTGTCTCCCCTTATTAGCCAAAATACATAGAATATAATTTGTATGAGCAGTTTTCATTAGGGGTGGATGTGCAAAATTAGCAAAATAAGGACAAAACCTTTATTTGATAGGTTCCAGGAGAAAAGTACTGATCAATCGCAGGCTGATACACTGCTTTTTAAGATAACAAAGGAGTGACATCTAACTATACCGTTATGCAACCTCGCGATTCGCTTGATGTACATCAGTAGATCAAACTAGTCTTTTGTCTCGTCCACGAGGTTGTCATGACATGTTCCAGAGAAGAACATAGCAAAAAATAGTATCCCCCAGAGTAAAGGGGATGGCCTCTGTTTGAAACAGAGATAATATAACATGTATAGATCAATATCATCTGGATGTATTGATATATCTTATTAGCTCAGTAATACTTACAGTTTTGTAGCGACTTCCTGCTATGGTCCGCGCTGTGTTGATCACCTGCATGGTAGTATAGCCTGAATACCCATAGGAACCCCTCATCAATATCATATACAGCCAAACAAATGGACGAGCTTGTAGAGACTCCCAAAGATTAGTCAACCTTACAGCGTTCTGAAACTGTAACTTTCCTCTGAAAGGTAAATTTTGTTCTAAATGCTGTGTAAGTAAAAATCAACTGGACAAGGAGACAGAAGAATAACAGAGTGTACTGAGTTATCAATCTTATCCTCCCAAATACTATTAAGTCCCTGCTTCAGAGATGGAATTGAACATAAAATTATTAAAGAAAATAAAAATTCAGAACTTTTGTGAAAAAGACATACATAAATTACAAATCTATGGTAAATTGAATTTGTTATTGTTCATTAACCTAATGGACTAATGAATGGAATTACTGAGATAACATGCACAGAATCTAGACATCAAAGCATGATAAAGCTGGTTTTTGTACATAAAAGCTTGTGGACTGGTTTGATTTTAGTGTGAAACATACTTAACAGGTTTTAGTGGCGTGTGTTCGGCCGGACAGAGCAGTGCTGCTGATCTGAAAACTGTACTGTCTGTCCCTACCAGTGCGACTGATGTACTGCAGCCTAAACCATACCCCAGCACCACATCTACTCTGAAACATCACCACACATTACAGTCAGTACCATTCTAATGATCTACAAGAACAGAGATACATTCTAAACACTTGGAGTTTCTCAAGCGTCAGTATTTTCTATTTTTTTAATTGAAAGTGTACTGCTTGCATGTCCTAATTTCAAAATACTTCAATGATTTATCATAAAACTGATTATCAATATACTAAATTCCACACCAAGCACTGTTTGTCCTTATTTCAAAATACAACATGTCCAGAGGGTCTGCATTATTCATCTATTAAAATATACCTCTATTTCCCCCATTGAGCCCCGTACTTCTTTGTTCTGGGATTGGGCAGGGGACAAATCTGAGTGCTTTTCACCCAGAAATGCTCTGGAAAGAATCAAAACCTTTGTTTATACAAAGCTGATTAAATCCTATTTATCCAAATTATGAGAATTCAGGCAAAATTTAATATTCTGGACAAGTGGTATTTAAATATAAAGTTTTGAATGGATATATCAGCAATGTATGGCAGACACAGCACCATGCATACGTTGTCAGATGAGGTAACAAGAGGGGTGTGAATCTTAACCATTATCTGACAATCGACAAATGGATGAACAAACCATAGAATTCCCTGACTTTAAACATTCCTTGTAAGTGTCAGAAACTCAAAAATGGTAGGTTCTGTTCATGAAAAACAGTTGCACAATCTTGTAACAAAATGGCTACTGTGGTTGCCATGTTGAAGTTTTGATTGGACTGAAAAGTAACAACAAACCATCTCTTTCTTTTCCTTAACAAACAAAACAAGGTTCAAGAGGTTAAAAGGTTGTTATCAAGTGTCATGAAACAAAAATTATGTCACTGAATATAGTAAGCCAGTGTCGATACATGTACACCATCAAAACTGTCATCCTATACTAACAATTCTTACAAAGTTATTTCCAGAAGGAAATAACCCAGTTTATGCTCAAAAAAGCAATTTTTTCTATGAAAATTAAAGTAAAGTTTAAAAAAAAATTCCTCTCTAGGAAGAGATGTAATACCTATTTGGTAATTAAAGCACCTTCCATGCTTCCATTCATACAGAGCATTTTTTTCTACCATATCTGGGTGTTGAGAAGAAAATTTTTGAAATTTAAGTCAATCTGCCCCCTTTTGGCCCCACCCATCAGCCCCTGGGGATCAGTCAGGATCAATATGGGTATACAATCATGCTGTCATTTTTACCCTCTCCTTGTGGGGAAATATGACATCCTGGGGCCATAAAATTCACAATTTTGGTAAAGCACCATAAGATGCTTCCATGCATGAAGAGCATTTGATTCTACCATATCTGTGTGTTGAAATCCAAATCAATTTGACCCCTTTTAACCCCGCACTCATGCCCTTGGGGTGGGGACTATATAATTAATATTTTGATTCACCTTCGGCCAGGGAAGGTTTCTGCAAAATTTCATTGAAATCGAATCAGGAGTTTTTGAGAAGTCAAAAATGTTAAATTGTTTACAGAAACACGATGCCGAATGAAGGTGATCACAATAGGTCACCATAAGACCATCTCAGGATCATTTCAGAGAAGTTGGACTCAATTCCAGGGTGAAACTTGAGCTGAAGTTTCAAATAGGTGTTGCACAAGAAACCATGACCATGATTGTGCAAACATGTTACAATATGGCCTCCCTGACTGACATGTCAAAGTTTTGACAAGGTCGAAAAAAACAACACTTTGTTGGCTACCTTTCATCAACATTTTCACCAATTTTAGCTCAATGGCACCATTGAAAATGGAGAAGAAGTTTAAAATATGTGTTTCAAGATGGTGAAAACGGTGGCCATCTTGGATTTCAGGCTGACTTGAAAATAACAACACTAGGTCAGGACCATCTCAGGATATTTCATACAAGTTTGAGCTCGATGTCACTAGTGGAACTTTAGAAGATGTTTAAAATGTAAAAAGTTTCCATACAGCGGAAGGTGGTATGGCATGCTGCAACCAGCAGACAACGACAGACAAAGCACAATGGCTGTAAGTCATCATGACCCTTTGGGTCAGATGACATAATAATGGTTTATAATTCAATAATCTTGGTGGCATTGAATGAGTGGCATGTCACAACAGTTATAGTCATACGACTTTCTATTCATCATATCTCACTAAACTAAATAGAGATTACACCACAGTAACTGTAGAAACCAACCTCCTTATATTTAATGTCATTTGAAAGTCGAATACAAAATGCATCTTCTCATCCAGTGCTCCTGTGAAAACATTCCATTCCCTCCATTTGAGCCATTTCGTTTCACCATATCCTGGAACAACAAACATCAAACATTACATTTTACCATATCCTGGAACAACAAACATCAAACATTACATTTTACCATATCCTGGAACAACAAACATCAAACATTACATTTTACCATATCCTGGAACAACAAACATCAAACATTACATTTTATCATTTCTTTCAAAATGTTCATTAAAAACCAGAGAAAAAGTATTGATGTAAAGAATTTTTTGATGTTGCAAATATGTATATAGCACAATCAAACAGGAATTTATAGAAATAGGGTTTCCCTACAATTGGGTTAGGTTGTGATGTCACATCTTTGCCTTACTTTTTAAACATTTCAATTTCCTCTTCTGACACAACAGTGCCTGATCAAATCATAGACATTATGTGAGGATTTACTCTATACATGTATATGAAAATGTGATTTTATGTGCAGTAGATGCAAGTGAAGAGTGCCATCCCTCTTCTTGATGTTTGCAGATGATAGTGAAAATAGATGTGGGTGTATTTTGTCATGAAATCTGATCATAAAAACATCTCGTCCCTACCCCACATCACTGCGCTTTATAGTCCTCCCCAAAACAAACATCTCGTCCCACCCCTCATCACTGCGCTTTATAGTCCTCCAGAAAACAAACATCTCGTCCCACCCCCATGTCACTGCCCTTTAAAGTCCTCCCCAATACAAACATCTCGTCCCACCCCCATGTCACTGCGCTTTATAGTCCTCCCAAAACAAACATCTCGTCCCACCCCAACATCACTGCGCTTTATAGTCCTCCACAAAACAAACATCTCGTCCCACCCCCATGTCACTGCGCTTTATAGTCCTCCCCAAAACAAACATCTCGTCCCACCCCATGTCACTGCGCAATATAGTCCTCCCCAAAACAAACATCTCGTCCCACCCTTACATCACTACGCATTATAGTCCTCCCCAATACAAACATCTCGTCCCACCCCATGTCACTGCGCTTTATAGTCCTCCCCAAAACAAACATCTCGTCCCACCCCCATGTCACTGCGCTTTATAGTCCTCCCCAAAACAAACATACATGCTTTATAGTCCTCCATCCCCCACCCCCATGTCACTGCGCTTTATAGTCCTCCCCAAAACAAACATCTCGTCCCACCCCCATGTCACTGCGCTTTATAGTCCTCCACAAAACAAACATCTCGTCCCACCCCCATGTCACTGCGCTTTAAAGTCCTCCCCAAACAAGCATCTCGTCCAAACCCCATGTCACTGCGCTTTATAGTCCTCCACAAAACAAACATCTCGTCCCACCCCCATGTCACTGCGCTTTATAGTCCTCCCCAAAACAAACATCTCGTCCCACCCCATGTCACTGCGCTTTATAGTCCTCCACAAAACAAACATCTCGTCCCAACCCACATCACTGCGCTTTATAGTCCTCCACAAAAACAAACATCTCGTCCCACCCCAACATCACTGCGCTTTATAGTCCTCCCCAAAACAAACATCTCGTCCCACCCCCACATCACTGCGCTTTATAGTCCTCCCCAAAACAAACATCTCGTCCCACCCCCATGTCACTGCCCTTTAAAGTCCTCCCCAATACAAACATCTCGTCCCACCCACATGTCACTGCGCTTTATAGTCCTCCCCAAAACAAACATCTCGTCCCACCCCCACATCACTGCGCTTTATAGTCCTCCCCAAAACAAACATCTCGTCCCACCCCCACATCACTGCGCTTTATAGTCCTCCCCAAAACAAACATCTCGTCCCACCCCACATCACTGCGCTTTATAGTCCTCCCCAAAACAAACATCTCGTCCCAAAGTCCTCCCCAAAACAAACATCTCGTCCCAACCCCACATCACTGCGCTTTATAGTCCTCCCAAACAAACATCTCGTCCCACCCCACATCACTGCGCTTTATAGTCCTCCCCAAAACAAACATCTCGTCCCAACCCACATCACTCCGCTTTATAGTCCTCCCCAAAGCAAGCATCTCGTCCCACCCCCACATCACTGCGCTTTATAGTCCTCCCCAAAACAAACATCTCGTCCCACCCCACATCACTGCGCTTTATAGTCCTCCCCAAAACAAACATCTCGTCCCACACCACATCACTGCGCTTTATAGTCCTCCCAAAAACAAACATCTCGTCCCACCCCACATCACTGCGCTTTATAGTCCTCCCCAAAACAAACATCTCGTCCCACCCCACATCACTGCGCTTTATAGTCCTCCACAAAACAAACATCTCGTCCCACCCCATGTCACTGCGCTTTATAGTCCTCCCCAAAACAAACATCTCGTCCCACCCCCATGTCACTGCGCTTTATAGTCCTCCCCAAAACAAACATCTCGTCCCACCCCCACATCACTGCGCTTTATAGTCCTCACCAAAACAAACATCTCGTCCCACCCAAGCATCACTGCGCTTTATAGTCCTCCCCAAAACAAACATCTCGTCCCACCCCATGTCACTGCGCAATATAGTCCTTCCCAATACAAACATCTCGTCCCCCTACATCACTGCGCTTTATAGTCCTCCCCAAAACAAACATCTCGTCCCACCCCACATCACTGCGCTTTATAGTCCTCCCCAAAACAAACATCTCGTCCCTACCCCATGTCACTGCGCATTATAGTCCTCCCCAAAACAAACATCTCGTCCCACCCCCATGTCACTGCGCTTTATAGTCCTCCAAGAAACAAACATATCGTCCCACCCCTCATCACTGCGCTTTATAGTCCTCCAGAAAACAAACATCTCGTCCCACCCCCACGTCACTGCGCATTATAGTCCTCCCCAAAACAAACATCTCGTCCCACCCCACATCACTGCGCTTTATAGTCCTCCACAAAACAAACATCTCGTCCCACCCCAACATCACTGCGCTTTATAGTCCTCCCCAAAACAAACATCTCGTCCCACCCCCATGTCACTGCGCTTTATAGTCCTCCCCAAAACAAACATCTCGTCCCACCCCCACGTCACTGCGCTTTATAGTCCTCCCCAAAACAAACATCTCGTCCCACCCCACATCACTGCGCTTTATAGTCCTCCCCAAAACAAACATCTCGTCCCACCCCCATGTCACTGCGCTTTATAGTCCTCCCCAAAACAAACATCTCGTCCCACCCCATGTCACTGCGCTTTATAGTCCTCCCCAAAACAAACATCTCGTCCCACCCCCACATCACTGCGCTTTATAGTCCTCCCCAAAACAAACATCTCGTCCCACCCCATGTCACTGCGCTTTATAGTCCTCCACAAAACAAACATCTCGTCCCACACCACATCACTGCGCTTTATAGTCCTCCCAAACAAGCATCTCGTACCATCCCCATGTCACTGCGCTTTATAGTCCTCCCCAAAACAAACATCTCGTCCCACCCCACATCACTGCGCTTTATAGTCCTCCCCAAAACAAACATCTCGTCCCACCCCCATGTCACTGCGCTTTATAGTCCTCCCCAAAACAAACATCTCGTCCCACACCACATCACTGCGCTTTATAGTCCTCCCAAAAACAAACATCTCGTCCCACCCCACATCACTGCGCTTTATAGTCCTCAAAACAAACATCTCGTCCCACCCCCATGTCACTGCGCTTTATAGTCCTCCACAAAACAAACATCTCGTCCCACCCCCATGTCACTGCGCTTTATAGTCCTCCCCAAAACAAACATCTCGTCCCACCCCACATCACTGCGCTTTATAGTCCTCCCCAAAACAAACATCTCGTCCCACCCCCATGTCACTGCGCTTTATAGTCCTCCACAAAACAAACATCTCGTCCCACCCCACATCACTGCGCTTTATAGTCCTCCCAAAAACAAACATCTCGTCCCACCCCATGTCACTGCGCTTTATAGTCCTCCCCAAAACAAACATCTCGTCCCATCCCCATGTCACTGCGCTTTATAGTCCTCCCAAACAAACATCTCGTCCCACCCCACATCACTGCGCTTGATAGTCCTCCCCAAAACAAACATCTCGTCCCACCCCCACATCACTGCGCTTTATAGTCCTCCCCAAAACAAACATCTCGTCCCACCCCACATCACTGCGCTTTATAGTCCTCCCCAAAACAAACATCTCGTCCCACCCCCATGTCACTGCGCTTTATAGTCCTCCCCAAAACAAACATCTCGTCCCACCCCACATCACTGCGCTTTATAGTCCTCCCCAAAACAAACATCTCGTCCCATCCCCACATCACTGCGCTTTATAGTCCTCACCAAAACAAACATCTCGTCCCACAACACATCACTGCGCTTTATAGTCATCCCAAACAAGCATCTCGTCCCATCCCCATGTCACTGCGCTTTATAGTCCTCCCCAAAACAAACATCTCGTCCCACCCCACATCACTGCGCTTTATAGTCCTCCCCAAAACAAACATCTCGTCCCACCCCACATCACTGCGCTTTATAGTCCTCCACAAAACAAACATCTCGTCCCACCCAAACATCACTGCGCTTTATAGTCCTCCCCAAAACAAACATCTCGTCCCACCCCATGTCACTGCGCTTAATAGTCCTCCCCAATACAAACATCTCGTCCCACCCCCATGTCACTGCGCTTTATAGTCCTCCACAAAACAAACATCTCGTCCCACCCCATGTCACTGCGCTTTATAGTCCTCCAGAAAACAAACATCTCGTCCCACCCCATGTCACTGCGCTTTATAGTCCTCCCCAAAACAAACATCTCGTCCCACCCCCATGTCACTGCGCTTTATAGTCCTCCACAAAACAAACATCTCGTCCCACCCCAACATCACTGCGCTTTATAGTCCTCCCCAAAACAAACATCTCGTCCCACCCCACATCACTGCGCTTTATAGTCCTCCACAAAACAAACATCTCGTCCCACCCCACATCACTGCGCTTTATAGTCCTCCCCAAAACAAACATCTCGTCCCACCCCACATCACTGCGCTTTATAGTCCTCCACAAAACAAACATCTCGTCCCACCCCCATGTCACTGCGCTTTATAGTCCTCCCCAAAACAAACATCTCGTCCCACCC